CGAATACTCGATTAAGTCAGTGAAACTTTTTACCGATTCGCGGCTAACACGTTTTCGAATTTTCCTACGCAACAATCCGTAAATCATATCGATTTACATTTCTTCCGAGATTGTATACGTCACTTGCGCGAGTAACGCACGAGCATTACATATAAAATGTTCAGTTTGTTCATTTTCCGATTGTTTTTTCGAAAATAGTTCACAATATACCCGATATGGCGGTAAAACTTTGCTGTATGCGGAACGTAACGCATCAATTGCATCTTTCCACGTCTTAATTGTTTGTTTAATGCCTTGCCAATAGGTGGCAACATGATCTGTTAACAAAAGTGGTAACCCACGTAACGCATTTTCATCGGAAACATTGCTACAATCCTTGTAGACTAAGATGGCATCAATAAAAGCTTCTACATTCGCATTGGAGCTACCATCGAACCGGGATGTGCAATTCGCGAAATTTCCACTTGTGGATGATACACGTGAAAGTTCAACAAACTTTTCTAAAAATTGTTTTTGAGATTCCATTTGTTGTATTTGCATACCAGCAATTAGATCCTTCAGATGTTCATTAGTCATCATAACGGTTGGAGAAGGAACGTCACCAGACATGTCCGAAACCGTAGACCGTGGCATCGTTGATCTTGAAATCGATAAACGCTTACAAGTTTTAAGAGATTCGTCGGTAACTGGCTTTGAGCTGCGTAAATTGTACGACGTAGTCTTTTTAGGGAACATCCACCGATGTATAAGACACTCAAGAACGTCAGTAAAACACAACCACTAAAGCAGTTTCCAAAACTTCGCTATAGACAGTTATTTCACANACGTCACAGTTTCTTATTAATGTTATATTAATTTAGGTTCAACGTTAGATATTTCGTATTATACGGTTACAGACAATACTTAAGAAAAATATAATAATTCGGTTTTCTCTTTAATGGAACCACTACGAAAGACGCGCACCACACCGAGGTCATCTAGGGACTTGTTCTTACTCGCACCATTTACGAACTGGTTTTTGTTCTAATTATTTATACACGTAACGCCATCTAGTATCACGCTACAAAATGTATTTTTAAATACATACCATATCGATCATTTAGGACCGTTACCGTCTACAAATAAAGAATTTTTTTCCGTATCGAATTCAACTTCTTTATGTATAAAGAATTTGAATATGTAATAAAAATTTTAAATAACGATTTTGTCCTACATCCGATGGATCTGAAGTGGTGAGACCATCTCGAAAATATTTTAGATGGAAAGATCGGGGTGAACATCCTACATACACAAAATTTCAGAAATATAGGTGCAATTAAACCAAAAAGAAACGGATATTGCTGACTTTTTGGCGGAGACTGTATATTAAAAGAATATTTATACCAGAGTAAATTCAGTAGCGGCCACAGTTAAAGAAAAAAAAATACTAAGCTTTGTTGAAACAAGAAAGCTAATCACGCATTTATTAGCGAATTGAAACATTCTAAAAACATTGCAAATAATGTAGTACCCCAAGAATTTTAAAATAACTATTAAATTACATTACCTAAATATCTCTTGATGATATACGAAAACAGGTCGCAATTTTTGAAAATTTCGTTTTTTATCCTTTGTTAAAATTATAGTGCCAATCACCTCCTTAAGGATTTCAATACGTACGATTAATAATTCAATCGAGTAATACATGAATAGCAGTGCAAGGTATACAACATGTATTGAAAGAAATAAGGTATATATTTGAAATAACATCATTAACGTTATAACCCAATGTTTCGTTCCAGGAACGTAATATTCAACGATCATGCAATATTTAGAATTTTTAAAGTGAGCACAATCATCGCCAAGAAAAATAGAGAAACTGATAAAACATGAACAAAAAAGTGCTCCATATCGAACTATTTTTGACAAAGCTTTTATATTTTTGTCGAGAACTTCATTCCTTTTTGAAACACCAAATTTTCCGAAATCGCTCCAAAGATTAATTCCCTCCATTAAACGACGACGATTTCGCAATAGTTGAATATTCGTAAATACAAGCGTTATTGCACCCATAACAAATTGGATGTGAAATAAAATTTTTGCAAAATACATTTTGTAATCTAAAATCAATAAAAAGATAACTTATGTATCTCCTTTGAAATGTGAAGCAACATCCACCTTTAAATTCCATCAATGTGTGGTAAATTGTCAAAATAACACTTATAACCACCCAAATTGTTGGTGTTAATCCCCGAAATCCCTCCGTAGTGGGCCAACATCCACATTCACGCATAGATTTTTCTATATAGTATAAACCGAGTAGTGGTTTCGACATTTTAGCACTTCACAATTGAAACAACTCGACAGAACTAAATTGAAACCCGAGTAAGTAAGGTACACGTATGCCGTATTAAAAATTTACGCATAATAATTGATTTACAATTAATGTTTTTTTTACTTGAGTGAAAACGATTGTAAACGAATGGTAATTCCGCTGCGATAATTAAATAAAAAAATTCAAATTCAATTTCTGTTCGCAATATTTCATGGTAAAGTTCTAGCTTAGCTAAATTATCAAAATTCATTGCTTACATTCAAAAAAATCTACCATTACTGAACAACTATAATCACCATCAGGCTCATTAAGCAAATTCATGCAAAACTTGTTAGCCAAAAAACAGTGGGAGGTGATTATTATAGGGAATTTTAATGTCAATTTCCTGGAAGCAAATAATAATTCTAATAATTTATTGGATTTATTCAGATCATATAATTTTGAGATGTTATTTGACGAACCTTCAAAAGTAACCACTGAATCTTGCATTGACAACATTTTCTCGAATGTTAGGCACAACTATACAGCTATAACGTTAAATTTACACATATCTGATCATTTTACCCAATCACTGGAGTATGAAGTATGATACAAAAAACCTGAAATTAAAACAGAGATAAAAAGGTCTTATAATAACAAAAACATACTAAAGCTCATAGATAAACTTACTGTTTTAAATTGGGCTATCCCACCTAAAACAACAGCTCAAGAAGCATTCTCTATATTTCATTCTAAATTTATGGTTCAGTTTGATATCTGCTTTCCAAAAAAAAGCTACAAAAAATTTTAAAAGAGTATATGTATAATCCTCCGGAACTCAACAAACAATCCAACAAGCAGAGTTAAATTTAAAAAATCATAACAACGATGTTTATGGAAAACAAGAAATTATCTATGGCACACTAAATCTCCGTAGAATTTGCCATAAGATATTCTATATTTCATCATAATATCTCAATTCGTTCTTTAGATACGATTTTTTTTAAGTTATGGTTCATATCTTTAATAATTAAATATGCAAAGTTGCATTTAGAAAATCATAGCAACGATGTTTATGGAAAATAAGAAATTATTTATAGCACATTAAATCTTGATCAATTTTGCTTTAAAATGTATTTTATTTCATGACGATATCTCCATTCGTTCTTGAGACACGATTTTTTAAAATTTGTATTTCATATCTGTAACAATCCAACAACAGCTCAAGAAGCATTCTCTATATTTCATTCTAAATTTATGGTTAAGTTTGATATCTGCTTCCCTAAAAAAGTTACAAAAAATGTTAAAAGAGTATATGTCAACAATCCTCCGGAACTCAAAAAACTACAAGAAACTCTTGATGCCTTATTTGTGATAGTTCAAACAACTAAAGATGCTGAAGGTTTGCACTTATATAAGAAATATAAAAAAGAATATATAAACATGACTATTTAAAATAAGAAACGAACCGAATGAATATATTTTAAATGCTAATAATAAAATCAAAGCCATATGAGATGTCATCAACAACGAGTGTCAAACCAACCGTACAGCGAAAACTGCCTCTAATCTAAAAGCTTTCGATTTAAGTGATTACTTTATCTCTGTCACTGCTAATATTGTGCAAGATATTGTCACTACAAACTCCCATCAAAGTTATGTGAAAGAAATGAAAATTGACAATGTAAGATCCTGTTTCTTTGAGCCGATTTCATTGGATGAGATAATTAATGTTGTCAATAAGATGAAAAACAAAAGCACCGCTGATATGTACGGTTTAAATGTCAATATCATGGGGGGATCTCAAATGAATGAAAATTGTAACCGTCGACAACGCCATCCGATGTCACCATCGATAACTAATTCTACACAAATTCAAATTTAAACAACCTTTAAGGTGGCTTATATTTCATTTCTTTTTTTTATACTCATCTTTGATTAATTAAGTCAAATTAAGTGATGTCAAATATAAATGATATTGATAAATTAGTTAATTTTTTTAATAAGTGTAATTTTGTAATTAAGTGTAAAAAAGTATA